AAGATGCTGACAGTTTCCCAGTTGAAACTATGGTTAAGTCTGCCCATGTGTTGTGAGATTAGGGAGTTTTCATCATGTCTGGATTCTTCTGGTCATCTACCTTGACCAGAAGAATCCAGAGGAATCTTCTGGTCAAGGTAGCACAGTATTATAGTCAACATATTTCAGTGCTCCCTTCAATATTATTACTCAAATAATTGTTTGATTAGTACTACTGGAGCCAAAACAGGTTGCCATTTTCTGTTTGGACTATGAGAGAAAGAGAGGTTACTCTCAACTGATTTGGAAATTCAGCTATCATTTTCCGCCCAAGCTGTCTCCTGTTACATTTACTAAGAAGAAAGACTCCAGGCGGTGTGGGAGGATACAGAACTTATTAACACTATAGTTAACAGTATGAATACAAGAAAACATACAGTACTTCAACTTGAAGTTCAGGAATTCCCCTCATTCTCCTCTTCTTTTGATCCCCACATCTGCTCTGGAGAGTCCCCAGTCCGCTAGAGTAGATTTCTAGTAAAAGGTTTGCAACCCTGAATCCCAGAGAAATCCAATGCCAAGAATTCAGGAGGAGGATCTTAGAAAGAAACAGCTCTTTATTCGGCCAAGTAAAAGGAAGCTGGGTGGTCAACAGCCCAAAGCACAGGCAGCAGGTATGCCAGGGTGTGCCATGCCAATGGAAATGCAAACTCAGTTTTTATAGTTTACAAGAACAAGGCAGTTTGAACTGCAGTTTGAACTGGTTTAGCTGTAGGCTCTTTCCAGAATGCCCTCGAGGTATCCTGTGTATGTGTCCCTCTTGCTTCGAGCTAATGGTGTCTTTCTAGCGAGGCTGCAAAGACAACCCCCCCCCCTTCATTCCTCCCTTTAGTTTTGTAACAGAATGCTTTCTGTTACCTGGTTACCAGAGAGCTATATTCTTGTGGGATAGTTTGGAGAACCATGACTTTGGCGGGCTTTTCAGATGGAGTGGCGGGGCGGCAACAACCATCATTTGAGAAACTAGAGAGGTGAGCATGCGTCGGCCTAAAAACATAAGGATTGGTGAACAGCAGCATAGGACCAACAGCAATATAGCGCCAAGGAAAAGAAATAAGAGGAGGGATCTTAGCCATGAGCTGATGTTGGGAAACCAACTTTCCAGGAATGAGAATGGGTTCCATGATGTATCCCACCGGCGGGCCTCATCTGCATGCTTTTCAGCTATGGCATTCTCCATGGCCTCTATAGTTTTATTAAGATCAACTTGATTGTTATGAATGTAAACACAATAATAAGAATGTACAACAGCACAAACTCCTCCTTGAGCTCCGAGAAGCATGTCTAAAGCTTCTCTATTTTGCAGGACCACCATCCTAATTTCTCCTTGCTCTTGATTTAATTTCTGCAACCCCAGTAGGGGGGTATGGCTCTATATGCCCTCCTACCACATAGCAACCAACCCCCCCCTACAAGATTGGTATGGTACATGGCGTGGTCTGCCGGAGCCACTGCTGACTGGATCAGTGCCTTAATGGTGTTACAAGGCAGACCCCCTATACTGCGATTGCCCGTGGTGATGTGGTTGCACTCATACTCTGTCACATTGGCATATGAAAATGAAGGGGCATTGAATCTGTACAGGCTATTGACATTGATTAGGTAATCACAAATGGAATAGTTACCTAAGAAAATAGTATTTGCATTCGCAGTTGTGTTCTGGTATGCCCAGCAGAAGGATGCTCTATGCTGAATCCTAGACCCTGTCAAAACTATAATCTGGGTCAGGTTTTGGGAGATGAACACACCCCTAGGTCCTTGAGTTGGATTTTCCCATTCAGATTCATTCAAGGGAATCGCATCTAAGGGGAGTCCATCTGAAGCCTTTGCAGGCATGTGTTGACATAGCCAATAATTAGAAAAATTACTCTCCATCTGGTGTACTCACCTTCTGGATCCATTTGTTGTCCTGCCATAGGCCTAAGTTGGCCTCCCTTTTGTTACGCAAGGGAACACCCAGTCCCAAAGATAGACCTGTCATGAGGATCGAAAGCATTAAGACATGTGGTTTCTCCAAGACACAAATCAACCCCATCCTTCCCTTTCCCAAAGAATGTCCTTGGGGACCCACAACAACACTGTCAGAGAATTCCAACTAGAACACACTGAATCCCACTGCTTCCAGAAGGGTCCAGTCCATTTAAAAGATTTTAGGGTCCTTCCTAAGTAGACGGGAAGAGTCCAAATAGGTCAGCTGGTGAGGCGGGAGCTTTCTGGAATTTCATTTTCAGGCTGTTTAGCTGCTGTACTTGCCACTGAGTCAGAGAAGGCTCGACTTTCTTGATCCTGGAACCGTGGATCCACACCTTGATCCTCTCAACTTTAACTGCTGTTGAAGTGGCGAGTAAGACTTGTCGGGGTTCAGACCATTTGAGATCGACATAGGGAGGTGAGAGTTCTTTAACTCGGACCCACTCTCCTGGATTGGCAAGAGGAGGGGCATCTGAGACAGGTGGTAAAGCAGTCTGAGCCTGTTTAGAAATAGAGGAGAAAACCTGTGCCAGATTATGCAAATACTTGGTTACATTCTTATCTCCCTCATCAACATCCTTTACCCTGTTAGCCACAAAGGAGTGCCCATACATCATTTCAAATGGGGACAAGGCAAGCTTCCCCATAGGGAAGGCTCGAATATGGGTAAGGGCTAAGGGGAGTTTTAGGCCAGGGCAGACTAGTCTCCTGACACAGCTTGGCAATTTGTGCCTTAAGGGTCCAGTTCATATGTTCAACCTTAGCAGAAGCCTGAGGCCAGGGGAGGTGCCAGGGGATTTGAAGGAACTTGCTGACCTCTTGAGTGACCTTAGAGGTGAAATGTCGGCCATTATCAGATTCCAAGCCTTTAGGAACACTGAACTGGGGAACGATGAGTTCTATTAGGGCCTGTACTACCTCCTTAGCTGTTTATGTGGCAGTGGGAATAGCCTCTGGCCAACCAGTATAGAGATCAACTAAGACAAGGAGGTTAGACTGGGCACCATCCTTGGGCATCTCTGTGAAGTCAACTTGCCAGGCTTCCTCTGGGTATTGGGCCATTCGAAGGTGTCCTTGAGGAATTGTCTCCCCCCCCCCCCCCGGGGATTGTTCCGCTGACAAATCTCATACTAACGAACTACAGAGTGGCAGGCACCCCTGAGGCGTGGGGCGTGGTAACGTTCTTTTAGCCACTTGAGAAGGCTGGTGAGGGCCCCATGTGAGAAGTCTGGTGAGCTCAAGTAACAATCTTCCAAAACAGCTGGCAGGGAAACTGAACCTTTTCCCCCACTACCCACCAACCATTGTCCCAATGTCCCTTTGGGTCTAGTTTGTCTCGGTCATAGAGGGGAGGCATGGCATCAGTGAAGTCAATTGGAAGGAAAGGAAGAAGGTGATCTGGAGATGGCTGGCAACCCAGAATGGCAGCCTGTTTTGCCCCAAAGTCTGCTGCCTTATTTCCTCTGGCAACTTCACCTGGGTCAGATTGATGGCCATGACAGTGGATAATAGCTAATTCTGTAGGTTCCTGGACAGCTGCTGTGAGCTCCTCAAGCACGGGTTTCATTTTTAATGTCTTTCCATCCGCTCCTGAGAAGCCATGGGCTTTCCATAAAGCTGTAGGCGTGTGCGCAGCGAGGAAGGCATAACGACTGTCAGTAAAGATGTTAACTCGCTGTCGCTTTAGCCAAGTGACAAGCCTTAATCAGAGCTAGAAGCTCAGCAGCTTGGGCTGAATAATGGGAGGGCAATTTCTGCAAATATAATGGGCCATCTTCAGTAACTACTGCAAAGCCTGTGAACCTCTTCCCCTCTTTCATGAATGATGAGCCATCAGTCCAAAACTGCCCTCCAGTGTTTGCTAAAGGTTCAGCTTGCAGATGAGGGTGAATTCCAACAACTGTCTCTAATACTTCAAAACATTCATGGGGGTCAGAGCCTGGCTCAGGGGGCAGAGGCAAGAGAGTAGCAGGGTTGAGGTGTTCACACCGGTGGAGTTTAATATTTTCCTGTTCCACAATCAAGCTAGCATAGTGCAAAACATGGTTAGAGGTGGCCCAGGCAGGTAACTTTTGTTCAAGCAGGGTTCGAACTGCATGGAGGGTGTACACTGCTAATGGAGCACCTAGAATGATTTTCTGGGCTTCTTGGTCCAGTATAGCAGTGGCAGCGACTGCTCGCAGGCAGGAGGGCCAACCTTTAACTACATTGTCCAAGCCCTTGGAAAGGTAGGCCACTGGTACCTTTTCAGGCCCCAGTTTCTGAAGCAGGACCCCAAGGGCACATCCCTTTTGTTCTGTCAGGAAAAGGTCGAACCCTCGGCTTTGATCTGGCAAGGCAAGGGCAGATGCAGCGGCTAGGGCTCACTTAAGGCCTTCCCAGACCTTCTGGTGTTCCCCAGTCCAGTCCCAGGCCATGTCTTTCTGAGTCAACTGATAGAGAGGTTTGGCCAACAGGGAATACATGGGGATCCACAGCCGGGCATATCCGGTAATTCCCAAAAAAGTTCTCAGTTGTTTTATATTGGCAGGTGCCTTCAGAGAGGCAATGGTTTGCAGGCCATTCATGTGGAGGAGTCTCTTGCCTTTCTTGAGAATATACCCCAAATATTGGACTTCTTGTTTGACCCATTGGACCTTTTTCTGGGGTACTGCGTATCCCTTCCTTGCCAGATGGTTGAGGAGGGCAACAGACACCTCCTTAGTTCCCTCCCTGTCTCTTCCTGCAATTAGGAGGTCGTCCACATACTGGAGGAGGGTAGTGTCATTTGTTGAAAAATCTCTCAAGTCCTGAGCAAGGGTGGTGGCAAATGCTGTTGGGCTATTGCGATAGCCCTGGGGAAGTCGGGTCCAAGTGAGTTGACATTTTAGACCACTGTCTAGATCTTCCCACTCAAATGCAAAATAGGGTTGGCTTTTCCTGGCCAATGGAATGCAAAAGAAAGCACCTTTGAGGTCAATGATGGTGTACCACGTTTGGTCACCGGACAGGGTGGTCAAAAGAGTGTATGTATTGGCTACCACAGGATGAAGAGGCTGTATCTGGCGTTAACTTCCCTAAGGTCATGAACAAATCTCCAGGATCCATCAGGCTTTGGGACTGGAAAAATTGGGGTTGACCAGGGAGATTGGACTTGGTGAAGGAGGCCGTTCTCTAGAAATAAGTCTATTTGGGGCTTAATGCCTACATGGGCCTCTAGTTTAATAGAATACTGTCGAATGGCCACAGGTTGCACCTGAGGAAGAAGTTGAGCCCGATGTGGGGTGACAAAAAGGGCCAGCCCTGGTGTGCCTTGATACCAAACTTTGGGATCAATATTGAGGTGATTAAAATCTGTGGGTGCTTCAGGGTCTTGCAAAAAGCACACATCCGCTCGGCCAGGAGAGATATCAAGAGTGACTCCCTTGGGTGAACACTTGAGAGTTGCTCCCAGTTTGCCAAGGAGATCCCATCCCAGAAGATTTAAAGGGCACTGAGGCAATACTAAAAATGAATGTGAGATAGTAGGTCCCTGTGGGGGCTGAACAGAGAGGGGAAGAGTCTTTGGAGCAGCCTCCTCCCGGTCTGTGACTCCAACAATGGGAGTAGTTTCTGAAGAAAGATAGGGGATAGTGGGGTCCTTGAGGACGCTATACGTGGCCCCAGTATCAACTAAAAAGGAATAAGTTTTTCCCCCAATTGTTAGCTCCACCAGAGGGTCGGGGGTGCTACTGAAACCTCCAGACCCCCATCAGTAGGTACTAGGGTAGAACTCAGGCACTAGAGCTGACATCAGGGGTTGGGGTCCGGGCTTTGGACCTGGCCGGGATGCTTCCCCCATCCCAAAATCATGAGGTGGTCTACCTCCAAAGTTTCTGCCACTATTTCTTCCCCTAGAGGGCCCAAGGGGGCATTCCTTTTTCCAGTGGCCAATTCTTTTACACCGGGCGCACTGGTCTCACCGAAGAGGATTTGGGCGGGGTTGCTCAGGGTGTTTGGGTAGCTCCCTCCCTTTAGTTTTAGGCTGTAGAGCAACGGCCAAGAGGGCTGCTTGTTTTCGTATCTTGCAATCTTCCTTCTTCTCTTCATCCTCATCTCATTGGGCAAACACTATAAGCCGTTTGGATGAGGATCTCAAAATTCTGGGTGGTGGGTGCCTCTTCTGGAGTTTGCACCAGATATCAGGGGCACTTTGTCCCACAAAAGTCATTTTTAACATGGTTTCGTTAGCAGGGAGGTCGGGGTCAAGGTCAGTAAATTGTCAGAACCCATCCTTGAGGTGGTTCAAAAACTCAGTAGGAGATTCCTTTGGCTCCTGGAGAATCTGGTGGACCCAGTGAACGTTTACTGTCTTGGGTACTCCAGTGTGGAGGCCATGAAGAATGGCCTCCTGGGCATGCCGAAGGGCAGTGAGGCCATGATCTGTATTTGGGTCTGCCTCAAAAGTGGGAACCAGAATAACATTCGGGTCAGGCCATGCTGCATCATGTCTGCTATCTTGGAGCCCCTGGGTCTGTGCAGTGGTATAATGGACTACTGCAGCTTTTAAAACTTGCTGCCGGTCTTCTGCCCCCAAAAAGGCAGAAAGCAAGGTAAAAAGATCTGGGACCATTGAGCAGTGGGTTGAAATGATCCGCTGGACTAGATCAACATATTGCTGGGGAGCTTCTCAATAGGGAAGCAAGCTCTCCTTCCAGTTAAACAAGTCCCCTGTGGTAAATGGGGTGTGGATATAGGATAGTCTGTTCCCCATGGGGACCTGCCAAAGTGGAGCCAAGACAGAAGGACCCATACATGCTTCTTGAGTATAGGCTAGACCTGTCCTGGTGTGGGAAGGGCTAAGAAACTTCAGGTCTGGTCCTAGAGGCCCAGGGTCAGGAACTGATAGTGGTTCATCCGGTACCGGTGGGGGAGCATCTGGCCTTGCAGGAGAATTGGGATGGGGGGGTAATTCTTCTTCATCCTCTGCTGCTAGCTTTACTTTTTGACTTTTAATCAGCAGACAGACCCTTTGGGAGGGGGGTATTAGCCCACATAATTTTTGAATATCTGTCCATGCAGTCAGATTGAAAAAGAATGCTGAATAAAGTTCTTCTTCCATCTTGCCTCCCTTTGCCAGGAACTTTGACAAGTTTGGATAATTTCAGGGTTCACAGTGCCCTCAGGCGGCCATGGGAGCCAGAAAATAAGTGGGTCACATAGTAGTGCAGAGAAGTCTCAACTTCTCCCTTTTAAAAGTAATCTTTACTGCTACCAGAGGTTTTAATGTGCTCCAGTGGGCTAACACGCAGCACAGTGGGGTGCATGGCTCTCACTTCCCATCCTGTTTTTCATTTGCCAGGGGCAAACTACTTTTTCGGTTTCCTATTTTTTTTTACCTTTCCCTTTTTATACCTTTCCTTTTTATACCTTTCCTTTTTGTACCTTTTCCTTTTTGACCCTGGATTCCTGGTCTCAACGGCCCCTCCCTCCCTCCCTGTGCCA